AGTCCCAACCAATACCTTTTTCAGCTTTTCAGCATAATCTGCCGCTGCCTCTTCTACTGGTAGCGAAGGATTGATAACAACTATTTGGTCATCAGGTATAGCAATTTTAGAAAGGAGGTATGTCTGAAACAAAATACAAATCACTATTGCAGAATGACAAAAGCAACTGTGGGACTCTCATAGAAAGGAGGGGCTGCTGTCTCAATTCCACTAGCACAAATGGGGTGGGGGGAATAGAAGGCATCTACCGCATTCTCTTTATACAGCCCCCCCCCCCAAACCCACCCTAGTGGAAAGAAGGACTCTTTTAAAAATAGGAAAAGAATGTGGCAGGGGTTGGAATGGGATGAAATAGATAGGAGAAAAATCTCCACCCGTTGCTGAGAGCATTCTATGCAATCTCACGGAGTTTGTTTCCTCTGGCAGAATAAAAGCTGGATCAGATCTATGCAATCATCATCTGACACGCACTTCTTTCTATTTCACATTCTATTTTCACTTCCTATTTTCACTATAATTGTAATCTTTGTGAAACCTGGGTTACTTTCCTGCTATTCCCTCCTCCATGTAGGTGCCATCATTCTAACTCATGTAATAAAAAATAAGAAAATAAACACCCCCACAAATGAACCTTCCCCCATTACTGTATCTCCATGCTAGCATGCTCCATTTCCCTTCTGCCAGTGTGATCTTCCAGGCACCAATTAAAGATATAAGATTCCTAACAAGAAAAAAACCAACAACGGGTAATTTTGCCATGGTCATCTACAGGTAGTCCTTGACTTATAACAGTCCGTTTAGTGACTGCTACAAAGGCACTAAAAAAACTGACTTGACTGTTATCGCATCCCCCTGGTCACATGATCAAAATTCAGATGCTTGGCAACTGACTCATATTTATGACGGTTGCAACGTCTTGGATCATGTGATCTCCTTTTGCGACCTTCTGAAAAGCAAAGTCAATGGGGAAACCAGATTCACTTAACATCCGTGTTACTCACTTAACAACCACAGTGATTCACTTTAATAACTGTGGCAAGAAAGATTGTAAAATGGGGCACTATTCACTTAACAAATGTCTCGCTGAACAAAAGAGATTTTGGACTCAGTTGTGGCCGTAAGTCAAGGACTACCTGTACTCCTAAACAGAGCTCCAGGAATCATCATTTACACCTGGGAGTATTGGATTTATGGAAGAAAGAGGCAAATCTTCCGGAATCTGGGAGTGTCTCCTTCAGCATATTATTGAATCCAACTGTTAGATTACTAAAGAACAGAAATGATTTCCTACTTTTCCACAAAAGTAGACAGAAGATAATCTAGCATACCATCTGCCCATTGATCAATATGTTTGACAGTCAATTGAATCCCCACAATTGAATGTGACAAAAGTATCTAGGCTATTTAGACTAGAGCCTGACGTCAGCATCCGTATGCTAAGCTACTATAGTTTAAACATATTCCTGCTCTGCAAATTGCATACCTATAAGCAGATACTTCAAAAAGGAAAAGTTGGGGGGGGGGGGAGAGGGAAGACAAACAGAAGTGAACCCACCCTAAAAAAAAAAAAATTAAGCAACCAGCTACAGACACTCATTTTCCAATAGAAGCCAGATTACCTACAGCTCCCTGCATGATTTGAGTTGGGCTATGGACACAAACTCATGTGGCATTAAATCTGTTCCAGCTTTTTACAGTGAAAAGCAGCAAGTCTATTTAAAGATGGTTGCTGGGGAGGGAAGGGGAGGGGGGGGGCGTCTCAGATACGATGTTGAACAAAGGAGATTTCCGTCCTGCTCCGCAAGGCGTTTGCAGCACCAAAAAAAAAAAAAAGTTATTATTTATGGGTGAAGAAGCAGCAGAAGCAGCAGCAGGGACAGGTATCTCCTTGGTTTTAAATCGCCATCCTCGGGGACTGCAGGTGGAATGGGGAAAAAAGGAAGAGAGATGAAAGCAGCAAAGCAGCCCATCCCTGCAGTCTCAGGTTTACCGACCCATCATCACCCGAGGGAGTTCACGCCCAACCTTCCTGCCGGGAAGAAGAGCCGCGGCCAAGGAAACACGCCTCCCAGCCGTCCCCACCCTCACCCTGGGGGATCAGCCCCAACACCCCCCACGCCTACACCCCAGCCCGCCTTGGGGCCCCTCCTCGACAGACACCTTGTAGGCACCGAAGTTGCTCTCGGGGTCGTTCAGCGGGACCCGCCGCTCGTCCACGAAAGCCAGGAGCCACCGGGCAGGGCAGGCAGCGGCCGCGGGCAACTCCTGAGCCAAGATCCGCACTAGGCTTCCCCCTGACAGGCCCAGGGAGAAGCGCCCACCCGGCCCCGATTGAGCTTCCCGCTGCGCTACCAGCTGGGCCAGCGCCGAGCCCAGCTCCTGCGGCGAAGGGAAGACCGAGATTTGGGGCGACGGAGACCCTGCAGCGGCCGGACCGCGCCGTGGCACCGAAGAGCCGGGCATGGCGAGTGAGGTGAGGCGGCGGCTGGAAGGAGGAACGAAAAAACCCGGCAGCGAAGCCGAGAGGGACCCATGGTGAGAAGGCGAGCAAGCCCGGGCGGAAGCGGCCGCGGTCGTCGATGGCACGCGGGCGGAAACGCTCTTCGTAGAAGGGAGGAGTTAAAGGGCGGGCAAAAAAAGAGAAAAGCGGCGGAAACATATGCAAGGAGCCACCGGAAGCCAGTGAAGCCAGCACTCCCCCCCCCCTATATTTATTGGCAGGCGGAATTCTGACATACTGCAGAGAATACGAAGATAGAACTTACTCCGCACCAAAAGATTTTCTTATGGCTGCATTGCGAAATGAAATAGTGGACTAAATTTGGGGCCATGTTGGAGTTCCTTTGAGTTTTCTTCATTAGAGGTCTAAGATGGGGCGGGAAATCAAGGATGACAGGCAAAGACGGTAAGAGGGGGATTTCTTAAGATTTATAACAAGACACTCTCTCTCTTTCTCAATCCCTCTATCTACCGACCTACCTATCTACCTACCTACCCACACTCTCTCCCTACCTACCTACCTACCTACCGTATCTCTCTCTCCTCTCTCTCTCCCCCTCCCCCTTCCCCCCACTCTCTCTCAGCTTAATAGGATTAAGAGGTGGCCCCAAAGTGAGCCTAAACCTAGGTGACCAAACCTTTACTGACCAAAACCTTAACCACTGCACCAGAGTGAATGTCCTGGAATTGCTCGGAGGGTTTTATTTTAATTTGATAATTTTCTTTGATTAAATCGGTCTAATGGAAACCCCAGCATTTTCCAGGTATTGCCACTTTGGGCACCAGTTATTCAAAACCAAAACTTTAGCAGGGTTGTGCTGTGAAGGAACCAGCTGATCATATTTCTTTTTGGGTTGTCTTGTGATCGATAACTTTTAACTCAGAAACTGACTGAATTAGTTATTAAAGCCCTTTTGTCACTAGGAATAATTTATCATGACAAGAAACACCAGGCTATCATTTTGAAAGCTTTATTAGAACTTTCTATATCTTCTGATATTTATATTTAAGCCTATTGTGTTGTTAAATCTTAGCTTCTGTCATCAGTTTTGTGATTCAGGATATTGGTGAAATCCAGAAACTGGATTGAGTAAACTATGGTTTACTTAATCATGGGTAAATGGGCAGTGTATATAGCCTGTGTTTGAAACAGCAGTTCCATAACAACAGCCACATCAGGCAGCACAGAAAATTCAGGGCGACTCTGATGCAAAGTTGACACGTTAAGTAGAAGAAAGCATACACTTCCTAAGCAAGTAAAGTCAGCATACTGCAAAAGCATACTGAAGTGAAATACAGATTACCTATGGCATTTTTAGTTATAGTTTGCCTCCAGTTAACACATTTCAGCAATTAGATATTGCTATATTACTCGGATTGAATAGGGACCGTATCTGCAAATGCCTTGGGAATAAAAAGAGAAAATAAAATAAATTGTCCCTAAGCAAGGCAGGTACATTTTGGAGAAACACTATGTTGAGAAGGATTGGGAAAGAAGACTTTTAAAAGTATAGTTCAAAGGTTTTGTAAGTTTCAAATTGCACAAAATCCTATAAACATATACACTGGAGTGGACAACTAATAATTATCTGTTCTTATGGCTCTCAGAACCACTTTTGGCTAGGACTAAAAATTTTCAAGTGTGATTGTGTTTACTGAAATGCTGTCTTCCTTGATGTACTAAGCAAACTTATTCAGTTTCTTCACCCAACAGAGTCATCTTGTTACCAATTTCAAACAGCTTCCCCAACTATGTTTATGGATATGCTTTTGCTCTTAAGATAAGAATGGGGAGGAAGAGCTTATGTCTATAAATGTGGTAAATTAATTGTGCTCCATTAAAGCAATGTAAGAACCATATTAACACAGATCAATGGGATTGAGCAGCTGGGAAAAATGCAACGTCATTTCAATAAAATCAGTTTCTTGAGGGAAGTCTAGAATAGACATGAATCCTTACTGGACAAAAAGACTATAGAAAATCCAGTTTGACGTAAGAGTGACATGTTTTGCAAAGATACAGCTTACGTTACAGTCATGTCTATTTTTATTTGGAAGCAAGGCTTGTTGATTCCAAGAAAGTTTACTCCCAAGAACCGGGGGCTATTTAGCTGCCAACCAAAAACTTCTGAAATAGATGTGAAGTCTGACGCCAAAGCTGTGATGTTTGCTTTGTGTCAATCCAGTGTGCAAGTTATATTTCTTGGAACAAAAGATTAACTTGGAGATGGACATCTTGCCCTTGGAATTGCAACATGGATTGGGCTGGCAAGAATATAGAATTATTGCCCATCCCTGTATTAATGATCTACTGTATAGTTTGAGGTAAATCCTTTAGTAAAGTTATATTTTTATGCAAATTAGGGAGACTATACTGAGTGGTGAACTTTTTGCTTGGCCAGGTTAATAAAACTAAGAGAACAAACAGCAGACACTGGAAAACGAAACAACAAACATACTGAACATTTTCATTAACAGAGTAGGTATGCACACAACTCAGATATGTTTTTAAGGTTCTTTATTCTTGTAAGGTTTTTCTCAAATCAATGTTATATTTTGGCAACAGTGACTCCAACAACAAAATGTAACATTGCTTCAAAAAAATTAAGTTAGACAATGCATGATTCTTAAAACCAGGAGCAAAATTAGTTTTTGTTTGCTTTTTTTAAACAAACTTTTTTCTCCAGATCAAATTCAGTTAGCTGTAGGTATATTTATTTATGAGAGAACTAATACATCTTATGTTCATAACAGAATTGTTAACTTGTTTTAACTCGTTCTGAAGAGAAGTTGGAAAAGGCACATTCTGGGTCTTATAATTAAAAAAGGGAAACAGATAGCTCCCATGGCTTCTGAACTGTTATTTATCAATTGCCTGGCTAATACAATACTTGGTGTACTCAGAAATACAAAATAACATTGTTCTGTACATGTGTTTGTAAAATACTCTTACATGAAATTCCATTTTTGCCAAAGAGAAAAATATCCTTAAGGAAAATTAATTTGATCTTAAGTGATTCAGGGTACCTGAAACATTCCCTTCACAATCATATTGCAGGCCAGTAGTATGTACATTGGTAACAGAATATTTCCATATTGCTGTATCCCAAGAATTACAGCTTCTTTGAACAGGCAGGTAGTCAATCAAAATTCAAGCAATCCATGTGTATCGTCTTTATGCAAATTCTTAATGCCATCTACCCAAATGGCACTAATGAAAAGAAGCGCAAAGTTAGGAATGTCCAAATCAGATATTGCTGGAAGATCAGTGTGAGAAATATGTTGCAAATGGTCTTTGATGAGCTGACAGGCTTCCTATGTTGATCACAAGAAATTAGCAAGACCAAAGACTGAAAAGCATCAGATATCCACTTGTTTCAGGGATCAATGGAACTGTTTTTTCAAGGTTCTGGAGCAGTCAAATAATTTCTTGAAATATCCCATTCCTCCAAACTAACATTTGTTTTAAATAAGATGATTTAAAGTAGATTAACAGAACATACATCAATTATTTTCCCATGTGGGTGTAGTATATAACAACCAATTGATTTGCTGTAGGTAAGTGGAATACCTTTCTGCTAAAAGAGCATTAAAAGAGCCTTTCAAGCAGAGTTTCCGAACCAACTTATTTTCAATATACTGTACGCATTTTTAAAAATAATACTGTTATTTCATCTTATTAGTCCTGTTTCTGGTTTTTCTATTCAAGTTTCTAACACACATAAACTATTGCATTTTGACAGTCAGTCCCTTAAAGCTACAAATAAAGCTACAAAGAAACAATCGGAGGAACTCTAAATCTGTACGTTTGGAACCTGGGAAGTCTAAAGCAACTGAAGGCTTTATCCTAAACAATTTTCTCAGCTTTAACACAGTGAAATATAGCCAAATAACACAAAAGAAAATAATTTGATCAGTTTTGCTACAACAATTTAGTCATCCCTGGTATACTGCGAACATTCAACATGTAATAATGCAGATCAGAAACCATTTTCATATGAAATTCCCTATCACAATGGTTATAAGGAAGAGAAGGCCTTTCTAAAAAAAATGATCAATATAAAAAGAGCTATTCCCTTTGCTCTGGAAATGGTTAATGTGCTTTTTTTTTAAAAAAGGGAGGAAAACCATCTTGCTCTCACACTATAGTGGGGTTTTTCCCTGTTGCATATTAAAACCTTGCTTTGCTTATTTATTCAAGTCTATTTCTCTACCAAAACAAGACCTTTCGACATCAGGCCCTTTAGGAGTCATCTCACCAATTAAATCAAAGAGAAATTTTCCCAGTTTGGATCCTCTCAAAAATGCACTCATCTATTGGTAGGAACTTGCCAAGTTTCACATCCAAAAAGTATAACCGATCAGACATCTGGTGTGGATTGTAGCCTTCTCTTTGTAAACGGGTCTTCTGGATCTTGAAAGTGCCTATTGGGGGAAAAGAAAGAAGATAGAAACAGACTGTTGGCAATTGCATGCAAAAGGCTAGGCAAGGGGGCCTAGGACAACTCGCCACAGTCAACTCATCCTGGGACAATTCAATGCTATGCTAATTGTTTCATTGCTTCTGTTACTTTTTATTATTGGTGACCACACTTGCGTTGAAATTATTGTAACTCTTGTATTTCTGAGTTGACTTTCTTTTTTTATTATTATTATGATTGGCCACGTTCTATTGAAATTAATTTAACTTTTGAATTTGTTGAATTGTCCTGTAGCGAGGTGGCCGTGAAGCGTTGTCCCGCAGCAAGTTGGCCGTGGAGAGTTGGTTGTGACGAGTTGTCCCATTCCAAAGCAAGGAGTAGCACTTAGTTCAAGGACAATGATCAGACTGAAGATGTTTTATTTGAAAAAGAGGACAATATGTTATAGCAATAGCACTTAGACTTGTGTACTGTCCATAATGCTTTACAGCACTCTCTAAGTTGTTTACAAGGTCAGCATATCGTCCCCAACAATCTGGGTCCTCATTTTATAGATCTTGGAAGATGGAAGGCTGAATCAACCTTGAGCCCCATCAGGATCGAATGCCAGGCTCTGGGCAAAATTACCCTGCAATACTGCATTCTAACCTCTGCACCACAAGGGCTCCTTATCAAAACATATTGCTTTAAATTCTAAAAACAACTCAAAACTGAACAAAATTCAGAGGAAGATTTATCCAGAGGAAGATTATTTCTGTGAGATAAAAACGATTACCTCCTGAGAAAGATTTTTCTCCTGCTAAGAAGAAGAATTAAAAAAAGAGGGATTGTGAAAAGAAAATGAACAACTCTAAGGCAAAATGCAGTGTTTTAGTCATTTTGCCACCATAGCACAACTGAAAAGCACTGTTTTGGACTATGGAACAGGCAGATGACCAATCTGACAAAGAAGCTGGTGTGTATTTGGTTGGAGAAATCCATCTCACAAATGTTTCGTGTTTTTAATGCTTATATAAAAAATAAAATAATGTCTCTTTATATAGTTACTTTAGATCAGTTACTTTAGTGAAGAAAGAAAGGGAATGTTTGTTTAGACTGCATAAAATATTTGTTAGAAACTGGAATATAACTTAAATCTCATTGGTGGACCTCCTCTTCCAAGCAATTCCCAATAAAAGAATTATGATAAGCTGCCATCAGACAGTGAACTTCCTCGCATACCCTTATTTGTCTAGCTGGGGAGTCTTTTGCCCTCCTCCCTTCATCCCAGCACTTCGAAAATAGAAAGTGCTTTCAAACTTCTTGTCCAAAGTCCAGAACAACAAAACTAATGCCAATTCACAAGAGGTGACTATGTAATTGCATGATCTTTCATGTGGACACTCCCTTGTAATTCCTTTCCAAAAAAAAACAATTAAACTAAATGTCTCTGTTTACTAAGAAAAGCGGGGGATACAGGAAAGGACATTAATATACAGACAGAATAGCTAAACCTGCTCTTGAATATCAGCGCGTGCTTCATATTCACTGCAGATCAGGTAATCTGGACCTTCTATCTTAATGTTATTAGGCTGACCATCCTTTTTCTCAATTCACATGTCTAGAATACCATCTTCAGTTTAAAAGAATATGGAAGATAATTTAAAGACAACCTCTTTGTGGAGTCTAGTGCTTTGTCCAATCAAGGAAAATACTCCATCTCTGCTATCACCAGACTATCTAGTAAAGTAGGAAATTATCTAGTTCTGAACATGTTTCTGACTTCCTTCAAGGTTTATTTCAAAGACCCATACACAACAAAACAATTAGTAATGTTTAGAAGTAAAACAGAAAGGTTGGACATAAAACACATGCTAAAAGATAGCTAGTGGGTAATAATAGACTAATAATAGATCCCCCTCCCATCTTGCTCCTCCCCTCCCATCTTTTAATTATAATTTTGTATTCTTATTGTTATGATTTTATCACTTTTAATACTGGAAACCGTCCAGAATCATCTTGTGGCAACATGGACAACAAATACATTTAATAAAAACAAATAAATACCCTGTATTATCTTTTTAGTGTCTATTATATATCTCATCTTGGTCCTTTAGTTTAAACTTAGACACCATTTTAAAGTTTGTGTTACCTGTGGTGTCAACCTCTGGGAGAAATCGGAGGAAGATAGGCCGTGCATATGGAGGTAGTGCTTTCTGTATCTCCAAAAACAGAACATTGGGATTCAGTTTTGCTTCTGGGTCAGCAATAGCTGCCATTCCAGCCTTGCCTTCTACTCCTAAAATTGAAAAAGGAAATAAGCACAATTTTATTACGATCACAGACCAGCATAAAGCAAAATGATAAAGACTGCCCATTTCCAATATGTACATTTTCACAAAGGAGCCATTGGCAGCTGCAGATCCAATCCAGCTGTGTACTCCAACTCCATAGCAAACGAGCCTAGCTGCAGAGAATAAGCACTGGGGGGAATCTTGCTTTTCTCCTTTTCTAAATAACTCTCTTCCATTTGTCAGTCAACCTGTGACTGCAACAGGAAGACTTATTTGGCTAACACCAGCCAGCTATTGCAGCAAACGTATGTCAAATGACTTCAACAGGATGCAAATATTTATCACAACTTGTTTCTCTCCCCCTCTCTCCCCTTTTTTTCTACCTGGCTTCCCCTTTTGTATCCTCTTACTTAAGTTCTTAGTTGGTAAATCACCACAGAAGATCCTGGGTCTTCCATTTGTGCATGGTACCTGTTCACCATTAGCACAGTGTGCTAATATTTAATTTATATGAGTGAGATTTAGTGGCTAGAAAGTGGGATAAATATTATATCTCAGCCAACTACATCCAATAACTCGCCTAAGCTGTTCCCTGCCATTCATTCTCCATGTAGAAGGTTGAAGCAGCTTTGCAAAACGAAACAAAGAAATCCCCTATGTTGCTGTTTGTTCTAAGACCAAAAGTAGTAACTATTTGTTCAAACAAGTGAGCTAACACAAAAAACGGCCTCTGAAAGAGCAATAGATGCCAGTGACACAGCAAAGTAAAAATCCTTGCTATTAAACAGAAGAAGAGGTTCAACTTCTCATTCTACTAATGGTCATTTTTGCCTGTTTTACATCTGTTCAGACAGCTGCTTCTGCTCAAATCTCAGAATGAAAACCAAATAACCGGAGTTCCTCTAATATATCTGTCATCATAACAGTTTGCACCCTTCTCCCTCTATCACTCAATGGCTACTGCTCAAGGTATTTTTTTTCAGCCCTAACATCAATATAAATGAATGATTTTCAGGTGTTACTATAGGTCTATGTTTCAAGCTGCCTTTCTCTTCTTTCTTTTTATTATATCTCCAAACCCAACAGTATCAACTGATTCTGAACTTGGCAGACCTGCTTGCTGACTCCTGAGCTTTTAAATTCTAAATTACCTGGTACCTCTACTCCATAAACTGCCACGTCTGTCTTGCTGAGAATATGGCTGAGGATTCCTTCCACTTCGGTGGTGGAAACATTCTCTCCGCGCCAACGGAATGTATCCCCACTGCGGTCTTTGAAGTACATATAGCCAAGGTCATCCATCACTAGGACATCTCCTGCAGGAGAATAGGATTTCAGTATGTATGAAGAAGACTGTGCTTCCACCAAACTATTATCTTCCAGCTGGGAGTTTAACAAAGGAGGGTAAAGATAAAGGTTTCTCTGTCCAGTTGTGTCCAAGTCTAGGGCATGGTGCTGATCTTTTTTATCTTTTTGAGGGAGCCAGCATTGTCCAAGACATTTTCCATGGTCATGTGGCCAGCATGGCTACACGCCAAAGGCACAAGGAACACTGTTACCTTCCCACCAAAGTGATACCTATTCATCTATTAATTTGCATACTTTCGAACTGATAGGCAGGCAGGAGCTGGGGCAAGAACGGGAGCTCATCCCATTATGTGGCACTTGGGTCTTGAACCCGGGCTGTCAGCTTTCCAGTTGAAAAGCTCAACATCTTTAACCACTGAGCCATTGCGCCTCCCCCCTCAAAAAATGAGGACTGAATTCATCATAATATTAAGAGATTTTACTCAAGTTCAGATATTATTTGTTGCTAAATACTACCACATGTTTAAGGAAGAATTCTGAATATCTGAATATGTCTTTAGTTTCTGAGGAACTTAGATACTATATAATTTTGTAATTTTGACTGTAATATATGAATAATTCAAAATTACAAAATTATCCTTCTAGAACACAAAGGGACCAAGACAATGGCATGAAGAATACCTGTAAGATAAGCTTGATCTCCTTTCTTGAAGACATTATAAGCTATTTTCTTGTTAGTTGCATTCTGATTGACATAGCCATCAAATCTCCGCAAGGGGTCTTCTTGGTTTATCCTGCCCACAAGAAGTCCAGGTTCTCCTAAGTAAAGGAAGAATTCCAGAAAAAAAATAAGCAATATATTCTGTGTTATAGCAGTTGTGGATATCTGGATGGATTTTAATGTGTACTATTACCTTTGGCACAACATCGCAACAAAAATTGAGACACAAATATTACGATTTACTACTTTTCATCTAGCAGTTCTATAACTGATCTGATTCTTATTGAATATTCATTTGATTTAAATTTTGTCTCTTACTATCCTAACATCTTTTAAGTCTTCTGCAGCAATACTCTAGCTGAAAATTGCAGGACTGAAATAAATGCTGAATTTTTTTAAAAGTGCATATTCAATATAAAGTGTTATTTGATTCCATTATAAAATAGAAATTTTTAAAAGGTTTGTGTATTTGTATTTTCAAACCTATATATATATATTTATATTTCTAAACGTGTCTTTTCTTAAAAAATACATTCTCTTGTAACGGTTGAGCTGCCCTCCCCCTCCCCAAAATAAGAATTAAAAAGAACGTTATATTCTGAACCTCAATTGGTTATAGAAATTCAGATCAAGATTGTCTGCTTCAAATGCAGCCCAAACAAAATTCATGAGTACCTATCTGTAACCTGTAAACCAAGGTACAGATTACACAATCTGTAATTAACTAATCTGCTAAATTTATGGTAACCTTTTTTTAGTATTTTTCTTAATTTAATTGCTTTTATCACTTCTCTATATCATACAGTATTTTCTATCTGCTCAACCTGTTTTCTTAAGGCCAGTCTTTTTTTTTTTGGAATACATTTTATTTATTTCATTTTCANTCTTTCTTTCTTTCTTTCTTTCTTTCTTTCTTTCATCTCTCTCTCCCACTTTCTTTTTCTTTGTTTTCTTTCTTTCTTCCTTTCTTTCTCTTTCTGTCTCTCTCTCCCTTCCTCCCTCCCCCTCTGTCCCTCTCTCTCTGATTCTCTCACTCCCTCTCTGTGTCTCTCTCTCTGTGCCTCTGTCTCTCTCTCTCACACACACACTCACACACACACACAGACACACACATACTGTGGTCACCTTGTTGAGTGTTCAAATCACATTTGAAACACTCAGCAACTGGCCTGCATTTATGTTTTTTTGCAGCATTCTGCACTTATAGGACCAAAATATATGGTTAAAAGTACCTGGCAGCGGCATTTTTCCCTGGGGGCTCTGCAGAACATTCCAAGACTGATGCCACCACATCTGCCCTCTTCGGGGACAGGTCCTCTTCAGAAGGACAAGGCCCCGCTGATCCTCTCGCATTCCTTGTCTTCCACCTGCGGCCTCACGCCATGGAAAACATAGGGGCACGCACACCCACACAACTACAGCCCAGAGCAGGACCAAAGTCCCTCTCCCAACTGGCCCTTCCTCCCTCGGAGGGCTTCAGAGGGAAGTTTCTGCTGAAGCACAGGCGAGTGAAAACAAGTTCCTGCCATTACGAAGTCTCCGGGGCTGTAATTGTATGGGCTATGCACGCACGCCTATGTTTTTCATGGCATGGGACCGCAGCAGGCAGACGAACGCGAGGGGGGAGGGGTTGTCTTCCCGGATGGGATCCGGAATCATCATCAGCTGCGCAGAGCCTCACCCCGGCTCCACACCATGAAAAACATAAGTGCGCACGCACAGCCCGTACAATTACAGCCTCAGAGACTTCGTAATGGCGGGAACCTGTTCTCACTCGCCCAAGCTTCTGCAGAAGCTTCCCCCCGAAGCCCTCCGTAATTATATGGGTGTGTGCGCCCCTATGTTTTCCACGGCATGGGGCCACGGCTGGAAGACGAGGAATGTGAGAGGACCTGTCCCTGAAGCGGGCAGATGTGGTGGCATTGGTCTTGGGATGTTCTGTGGAGCCCCCCAGGGAAAAACGCCACAGGGGATGGCTTCTTAACCAGGCAGCTGTCAGAGAGAAGAGGGCAGTGCGCGCCCGTGGGCTTGTGCAACAACCGCTGCACAATCCCACGTGGCGTGCGCTACCCTTTTCTCTCTGACAGCCACCTTGTTTCCAATGGAGGGGATGGGGATTGCATGTGTTTTCCTCCCTCTGCATGGATTTCCCACCCACTATTGGTAACAAGGCGGCTGTTGGCGGGGAAAGCCTGGTGCGGACAGGCAGGGCAAGCGAGCGGCGACTGGGTAGGTGGGGGGAGCGAGCAAGGGGGCAGGCAATGGGAAGGAGCATTCCGGTATGCCGCCTCCGGAAGAATGGGTATTGGAGGACACGCTAAATTTGACCAACTGGCATGTGCGTACCGGGGCGTACCTCCTGAAACCCACCCCTGGTACAGATCCAAAAGCAAAGAAGGTTGGGAAATCTCCCTGAAAATAGTTCACAGCCCAGGTTGTTAGAACCTGTTTTGCTCAGCTGAACCAAGTACACAGCCCTAAAGGTGAGGTGTTTTTTTTAACCTCCGTTTCTCTGTGGAACTAGGCCAGGACAATAACAAGAATCCAGAGGAAAGGTCACATAAAACCTCTCCCTGTACAACACCCTAACACCCCAGGCCCTTTTCTCTCCTCACCAGAAGAAGGTCTAATTGCCAGTCTAATTGCAACATACCATCTAATCCCTTAGTTGAAACATGAGTTGGAGGAGATTTCGATGTCTGCGCCAGCAGAGGGTCCAAGTGCTTGGTATCTGGGGGGCAGGATTCAGGTCTAAAATCTCCAGAACAGAACTTGGACATATTTTTCCCCAGGATGCCATTCACTTCAGAGATTGCTGCAACATAAAATCCGTCCTTTTTATTAAAATTTTAAAATAGAGGCTGCCCATTTCTCTAACTGTAAGAAAAAAAAAATCAACAACAGTATTCAAATTATGATGACCCCCTTGCCAATTACATCTGTCTTGCAATATCTTACCACTATACCACACACTACCATATCCTGAAAAGTTTTGCCTTTTTAAAAACTGGGGTATTCTTGCTACTCTTTTCCAGCGTGGATTGGAATTGTCTGTTTTCAAAAAACAAAATCTGCAACAATTACTGTTTTTCTACATGCAGATTAACACTGCAGTTCTTCATGTGGCTACTATTACAGCTAGTCCTCATCTTACAACAGTTCGTTTAGTGGCCATTCAAAGTTACAACCGCACTAAAAAAAGTGACTCGTGACCATTTTTCACAGGTATGATCATTGTAGTATCCCCATAGTCACGTGATTTACATTCAGAGGCTTGACAACAGATTCACATTTATGTCCGTTGCNAAAAGCTATGAATTACAAAGAGATCCTAACGACTGACCTTCTCCCTGCCCCTTTCTTCCAGAAAGGGGAGATATCTGTAGATCTTATAAGATATACGAACCAGAGTCCTGGCAGGAGCTTTGTTGGGCAAGGCTTGTACTCTTGAACAATGCTCTATCATCTCCTCTCTTTAAAACGGCATCCACAGATAGTCCTTAACAACCACGCATTCAGCGACCAAAATTACAACTGTTATGTGATCATGATCTGGGAGTTCGGTGTCTGGCTTGCAACAACAATATTGCAGTGTCTGTGGTCACATACATTGATAGCCATTCGCAACCTTCACTGCTGGCCTCTGCCAAGCAAAGTCAAAGGGGAAGCCAACAGGAGGTTGCAAACAGTGATCATGTGATGGCATGCTTAAGAACTGTATGGGACTTGCTTAATGATAGTAGCCAGACATGCAAGCACTGCCATCATAAGTGGTGTGGTAATGTGCCATCATACTTTACAACAATATTACTTAATGAGAGAAATTCCAGTGCCAATTACTATTGTTAAGCAAGAACTACTTATATTTGCCTAAGAAGCAGGTCAAAAAGGAGCCTCTCTAGTCCTGTAAATTCTCCTTGCTCTTGATAAATTTGAGCACAATCATTAATAATTAACAATATCCAGGTCAGCTATACTCCTGGACAACTGAAGTTGTGTAGGAACCTCTATTCTCCAAGTTACAATTAAGGCGTAAAGCAAAGCATTGTCAGACCTATTTACCTGGTTGACAGGAGATACAAAGGCCATTTGTGCCACGTATTAGCTCCATGGTATCCTCATTAACTTTCACCAAGCGGATAGGATATACATTTGGCAAAATCCGGCTATGGAAGCCACAGGCTCCCACCTGTCAAGAGTAAAAAATATTAAAAGCAAAGGAGGCCTCCAAATGCTGCATTCATTTCTCTAAGGAGGTTATTATTTGCTAGGAAAATACTCTGTAAATTTCCAAGCTCTACAGAATGGTGAGATGTCACTTGAGGGGAGCAAGCAAAAACAAGAACATTGGGACTGGCCTGCCCCACTTGCGCTGGCAGAAGGGGCATTCTGCAGACCCCATCAATCAAGGCCTGCTGGCTGGCAGAATCCAGGAGGATATTTTCTGCCATGGTTCCTGCCTTCTGGAACGTCATGCCCCTTGGAGTGAGACCTGTTCCTACTCTCTTGGGCTTCTGTAAGAACCTCAAAACCTGGCTCTGCCAATTGGCCTGGAGCCCTGATTGGGGAATATTCTATATTGGAGGTGGTTAATGGTGTAGCAAAAAGATTCTAGCTCCAATTAGTAATATTGTGTTTTTAACATTTAATCTCTGTTCATTTTAATATTTAATGTTTTAATGTTTTGTATCTTTGTTTTTATGATGTTTGTAAGCCATCTAGACTTGCTCGATAGTGTGATGGGTGCATATAAATTAAATTTATTACATTTAAATGCTTCCTATCTCCCTCTTGAGCATCTCTGGGTGGCTTACAGTATCTGAAATAATACGAACAACTAGAAGGTTAAAAATACTAAAACAGGGAGCATTAAAATTAAAACATTAAACTTAACAGCAAAGTAGATAAAAAGGACCAATGCATACATGTGGAATCTCCATCTAATCTACTAGCCACCTCCCGAATGGGATGTTCCCATTGGGGCCCCAAGTTAGCCTGCTTAGGCTCTTGGCAATTTGTATTTAAAATTCAGGAATGGGATGTAAATTTGAACCCAGAATAAAACAGCCAAGTTTTCTCCTCCCTGTATTATATAGAGATTTTAGGAAAAACAAAAAAAGAACACTTTGCTTTTCATTTTCTGTCTATCAATAAAATGTGCAGACTAAAGTTTCTAGTGCTACCGAGCACAGCAGAGGAAAGACTTGAGGTCTGGCATAAGGGGAAAAAAAGGTCTCCACAGTTCCTTTACTTCTAATCAGGAACATTAAGGGATAGAATACATTGTAACATGTTACTGCAACTCCAGTTTTTGCAATCTGTAAGTTAAACAAATACTGATAAAAGCCAACAGCATCAAAGAGAGAGAATGCTATTAGCCCTGAACTGGCAACAAGCAGTACAGGGTAGTAACTGAACTTGCTGAGAGTCAACAAATTGTTGTCATATCTACAGTAATAGTGACCTTCTCTGGGAAGGGATTTGCCTACTAATCCAATCACTTCTTCAGTGACTTTAAAAGTCCAGCTGTCTTCCTTCATGCAGTCACAGAACTGTAGAGCTGACATCCAGCCAAGAGGTCTTAAAGGGCACACTCCTTCATTGCAGATAGGTAGCTATGCAAAAAATGGTACATTCCCAGGATGCAAAAATTAAAGCTGAAAACTCACATGCTACAGATTTTGCAAACATTTGCCCCATCCTTGCATGAAGAGCTTGTTTTTTTTTAAAAAGTATCCAAAGTATAAAAAGATAACCTCAATTTACCTTTCCATCTAGATTAGCAATGCTACAGTTACACTCAGTAGCGCCATAGAACTCCCCAATCTGTTTGATTCGGAACCGCTGTGTGAAGTCTTCCCAAATGGTGGGCCTCAAGCCATTTCCAATAGCTAGCCACACCTGGTGCTGCATTTCTGCCTCCCGCACTGGTTGGTTCAGCAGGTATCTGCAAATCTCCCCAATATATTGAATGATCTTTGAAAAGCAAGAAAGACATGATTTTAAAGAGTAACCTGGCAAAGCCCCAAGGAAATTGGATAATAATGCAACATATTTAAGGTGCACTGCATCTTGATCCAATTCGCCTAAGGTGTTTTCCTGGCTTAAAATGAAAAAAGTAATTGAGTTTGCAAAATGCCAATAGTTCTGTTTTGTTTATAAAGCCAATTTGTTTATATAATTAGAATATTTAGAAGCATCTTAAATGTAATCAATCAGAAGCAGCAGTCTGTTTAAACAAGTATTAATGAAATATTTGCAACTCGTAGATTGAAAACACTGTCTTAGAAACAGGAAGGTTTGCTTTTTCTGAGACAGAATTTGTTAATACAGCTATGTATTATTTAAACATTTTCTTTTTCCAAACTAAATTTCTGTTCATACATCGATAACTAATGAAAGATAACATGTTGACTATGGAATCATTAAAAAAAGTACTGCTAAATGTTCATATGAATGTATCAATATTTGCATTCTCCATTTGAAATCCACAAGATAGTTACAAGCTAATGAGGATGCCAAGAAAACATTTTAAAAAATGCTTTTAATGTTTTTACTCTTTTATTACTACGTGAACTGCCTAGGGCAGGGGAGTCAAACTTGTGGCCCGTGGGCTGGATGCATTACATGCTGGCCCCACCCCTGCCCAGTTTAGCAAAGGGGGAAAAAGTCTCGATATGTCACGTGATGACGCCTTGACAACATGAGTTTGACACCCCTGCCCTAGGGTTATCCTATATACGATGGGAAGCTAAATAAATCTTTTAAATCAATTACACGTTAATTGATTTAAAAGTATTATCAAACCTGCTTTCTATAATTGGTAATAACAGTGTTGGACTCCAACAGGTGGAAGAATGCCAAGTTTTCCAAAGTGCAAGAAATGTTTTCTGCTTCTTATTTAAAGACAGTCTTTAGCAACAGCAATAACACTTAGGCTTATTTATCACTTTACAGTGCTTGCTCTCTTTAAGCGGTTTACAGAGTCAGCCTATTGCCCCCAATAATCTGGGTCCTCATTTTACCCACCTCGGAAGGCTGAGTCAACCTTGAGCTTGGTGAAGTTTGAACTGCCAAACTGCAGGCAGCCGGCAATCAGCAGAAGTAGCCTGCAGTATTGCACTCTAACCATTGTGCCACCATGGCTCTTCACCACACTAAACAAAGTAAACTGCTCAAGAATAGCCACTCTTTAATATAAGCTTTTTTTTTTTTTTGCTTACTGGGATATTGTTCAAAAAAAGCATGCTTAAATTTGGCAATTAACAGAATAAAGACCAGGATTAAAGTATTAGAATAGAGGTTACTTCTTGTTTCAAACCCCAAAGCACAAGAAAGGTGAAGTCAGTTTGGTGCCTTGAAGAATGGCATGCACGATACTGAGGGGGAGCAGATTGACTTTTTCCCTTCTTAAGCTTGTGTTATCCAAAATGGCCACACTTACAAAAATATGGCCAGAAGAAAATCAAGGGATTTCCTATGGGAAGCTTGTTTTGCAAAGAAAAAAAATGTCAGCAGATTGAAATGTAGTACCCAAAAACTACACAGCTTAACAATAGCTGTGAATCAATGATTTAATAATGATTACCCTTCCATGGTTGCTATTGCTTCTAGTCTTTTTAAATCTGGTTGAGACACCAACTGGCAAGAAGCTGGACAAAGAGGTTTTGGGAATAACCTATTAAAGTGTTACATTGAATTGTAAGTGAGATATAAAACAGTGATGAGCTTTCAAATTGAATGGCCGTGGTCTAATTTTCTTTCGCCCTGACCTTTTACCAGCATTTGTGGCTGGCCAGAGCAAAGGAAAACTAGTTTACAGCCATTCAGCCTGAAAGCACATGACTGCTTCATTGATGCCAGCTATGAAAGACTACACCAGTATATCGTAAGCAAAGCAATTCCTCAATTCACCCTCATCCTATTACTGCTGCCTTTTTTTGGTTCTTTGCTTTTTGTTTTTTTGTTTATGTGTAACTGTCTTGCCAAGCAGCCTTCCCCAAGTTGCACTTTCTCCCACCTACTACTAATTGTGGTGCCTACAAGCAAAAGTTCAGGGATCTCCTTACTGTACACTTGTATTTCACACAGTCATCCCAGAAGCGACTGGCAGAAAATTTCTTCCTAATCACTACCGTCAGACCATGAACCACACACTGGCCAATGCCCATGATGTTCCCTAAGAGACAGAAAGAGAAAGACGGTCAGCAGGATATGCTTGCCAGAAACCCTGGGGAATATTAACAAAGAGTCCCTGGTAATGCCCCGGCCAATCTCCATCCTAAAACATTCAGCAATAATGCCAGCTTACCTGCTGAGTGGTACAATGGTAGGCAGTTATAGATTATGTCATCTGTGGTCATTCTGTAAGCATAATAACCAAAAGCAGCAATTCGGTAATATCTGCAATAAAAGGAAAAAATAGGTATCAATAGAGTTACTCTTAAGTGGTACTAGATAACACAAAAAAAATTGTGAAAATTCTTCTAGGATCAAAGGGCAGTTGCAGAAAACCAGTGATACAAATACTGGCCTGCAGTACAACAGTACTCAGAGTGGTCAGTTGGCACCTCGACTGCAGTGCATTGATACATCTCAGGAAGATATACAGGAGAAACTACAAGTCCTCACTTCACACAGTAACTGAGTCTGGAATTTACGTTGTTAAGTGATGCAGTTGTAAAGTGTGATATCCTAGGATTGCATCGCTTAAGCAGTGGCAATCTTGGGAGTTGCTTTGTCATCGCAAGGATGGTGGACGATTAAGCAAGGACCACACGTGACTGGAAGTTGTGAATTCCTGCCAGTTTCCAAAAAGCAGTCAATGAGGGACCAAGGCAGAAAACTGTAAACTTTGGTCAGAACAAGCCTTCCTTAAAGTGGCTCACAAACAGGCCAATGAGTAGGTGAATGTTATGGGATGTTGCAGGATGGAGAAAGGTTTTTTTTTTCCTGATGCAGCATCTGCTACAAGACCAGGGGGCAGGTAGTACAGTACGGTTCCACCACAAAACCGCGGTCGACTAAAGCGCGCTCGACGAAACCGCGTACCTGACGTCATCACAGCGCGACGAAAAAAGCACGCTGTGAGCACTAAAGCTAAAATTAACCCCTAAACCTAAACCTAACCCCCCGAAACCTAACCCTAAACCTAACCCTTAACCTAAACCTAACCCTAAACCTAACCCTAAACCTAACCCTAAACCTAACCCT